CCCCAAAACCCCAAAACCCCAAAACCCCAAAACCCCTCTTACACTGAGCCATATTGATAATATTTATTATGGAATCAGACATTGGACTTGAAAGCACTAATTTGTATCTTTTCCATCCACTTGTAGGCCATCTATTCACCTCAGGGCCTTGCCAGGACCTGAGTTCTGCAGTGGCCATCAAACAAAGAGAGAAGGAGTTTAGAGCAGAGCAAGAACAGCTAGGTGAGACTTGAAAGAAGAGAGAAATGTGTGGGTTAAGAATTGGTATGGGACTAAAATAGATTTTAGAGTGCTCTTAGAGGGGTTTAGAGATGCTTTAAGCAAATAGAGGGGATAGATGAAGGGTATACTTGTGTTTTAGAGTCAGGATAAGGTTTTTATGTTCAGTTTAGTTGATTGTCTTTAAAATAAATAAAAGTTCTTTTAGTTTGTAGAGCATTGCTGTATTGGTTAATGCTCAAACCTTCACATTTAAGTTGCTTGGTTTTACTTCAAGGTGTTGAAATTTTTAAAACTACCTTCCAAGTATCTTGACAAGATTTCTTCTATATTTTTGCAAAATTTCATTTTTACTAATTAGCTTCATTCACCTAACTCTAATTCAGCAGAGAGAAGTCTGTCACAAGTAAGAACAATCAGTAGTGAGATATCTCTCGTAAAAGCTCAGAAGGAGAATAGGCATCAATCTGTATGTAGCAACTCCTGCGAGAGGACAGTCCCGAAAATTCATAATAATCTCAGAAATAAGCTAGTCCCATACTCCCAAAAGAAGATCGAGAAATCTTGCATAATGGACTTCCATTCTGAAGGCCAGGAGAACACTTCTCACACTAGTTCCTCCAAAAACAAAGTTGATATGAGGAGCTTTGACCTCAGGACAAAATCACGAAGAATGGAGCATACTAGCTCTAATAAGGAAGCTACCAAACTTAATGATTTTGAACAAGGTAAGAACTTGTCTAATTTATTTTTAGCAAAAACTCCTCTTACAGTCGCACAGATGTCCCGTGTAGGCACCCAGATCACACTAGGAGAACCTGCAGAAGCTCATATTGAATATATAAAGAAGCTTGAGTCTATAATAGCTGGGCTTAAAGCAGAGCTTAATTTGAAAAGCCAGGAAAATGAAACCTTAAAATAATGAAAATACTAACCTGAAACAACTTCTCAGCAAATAACGATCATGACAAATTCCAACAGTTGAGTAATAGCTTCTCAGACAAAGATGTTGAGGTTATCCCTACTGAAGAGAACGAAGAGGAGCTCGACTCATTCATTCTCGCCGAGAAAACAGCTGTAGATGAGGTTATGAAGAATCCCTTGCAAAACCCTATCAGAGAGATTCTGAGTATGAAAGCTAAAGGTAAACCCTTTTGTTTACATAAAATGCTGTTTGAGTTTCCAAAGAGTTAAACCTGCTTTCTCTGTGATAACCCTCTTTATAGTGTCTTCTGTTGACAGAAAGAAATCTCAGAGTAAAAGAAGCAGCCTCAGAATGGTATCTTTACATATCTAATAACTTCAGCCTTTAACTGTAGGATCGATAATAGATAATGACTTGAGCCAATCAAGAAGAAAAGTCCTTAAGAATTTTAGAACTAAAGCAACCTCTCCTAGCTTGGAGGACTATAATGGCCAGTTGCTTTCAACACCACTGAAGATGCCGTACTACATGAAAGCAGAGCCTCAGACATTCAAAGCAGAGAAGAAAGAGCAAGACTATTTTGGGGAACACTTTCACTACACTATCGGTACTGAAGTTCTTAACCTTGTAGATCTCAGCAAGAAGGCAAGAGAAAAGTCTCCTCTTCATCCAAATTTAACGAATGGGACTCCTAGTCAGGCAAAAGATGATACCAACCCCTTCATGTATGCTGGCATTTAATCTTTTCTAGGAATGAAACCAAGGGAAAATACAGCCAAGGAATTTCAAACCAGAAGAAGGCATTTGTCAAAGAGGTTTCAGTACATCTAAACTGCATCAAGCAGGGAAAGAGCAACCGGGAGTGGTCTCTTAACAACCATTTGAGAGCTACCTCAAAGGAAAGCAACAATTCCATCTCCTTCGGCGGCAGTAGCAAGAAATGTAACTAGATTAATTCATGTATAGACAGTTATATCAAGAGCAGACTGCATCAGCCTACTTCTACATCCAAGATCAAGAAGGAGGCTACCTTTGTGGAAAAGAGCAAACATGCTGAAAAGAAGAAACGTGAGAAACACAAGGTGGCCCTCAAGTTCAAATCAGCGAAGGGGTATCAGGATCACACTCACAGGGAGATGACTAAATTTAACACAAAAGAATCTTCTCCAACTATTCCTGTAAAGGATTATTCAAACTTCAAATACCCAAAGAAGCGTAGCATGAACCTGATCGACAAAGAGCCAAGTCTAGGGATTCAGGGGTCTAGGAAGAAGAGGAAGAACCGGCATGAGAAAAAGAACTCAGAAAGATTGCCCCAAATTCCTCATTCTAGCAAGAAATAGCCTTAATAGCCTAAATAATTTTAGCCAGTAAGGGGTTTTGGGGTTTTGGGGTTTTGGGGTTTTGGGG